TAACTGATGCTTGTGAGCCCTGTGGTGGGGAGGTCTCTAAGGAGCTTCCGGACAAGGCTCTGTGTTAAATACTTTCTCCCCTAAATTCCGTATCTGCCGCTCCTGCGGCACGAATCCCACTGGGCGCTGCAGCGCTCTTTACCCTGCCTCGGTGTTTACAAGCACCTCTGAGGTCACCGTGCTCAACGCTACGCAGGCAGGAAACGACGCCTGCGCTGCCCGATGAGTTTATACCGTGGGCAGCGGTGGGAAACGGTGGCTGTGGAAACCACGCAGGAAGAGACGGGGAAGAGAAGACAAATGAAACGCAGAGGACGCAGCGCGTGGGACAACAGGACAAGGAGTGACCTGGGCGCTGCCTGCAGGCAGACTCCTGGCACATCCCGCAGCCGCAGCCGCTCACCCCACACACAGGAGAGCAGCTTGTAAGAGCGCGTTCTCTCCCTCAGTGTGCAAATCTCGCAAAGCAAGAACGGATGAGCATCTCACAGACACCCAGAGGCTTAGGCTGAAGGTGTAAGATGGGGAGAGGAATCTAAGGACAAAAAGAGCGAGGGTGGGTGCCCAGGAGAGAGGAGGAGTCGTTCTGTCAGCACGCAGAGCTCTCAGCATCACAGCCAGGGGCTGCGCGTGAGAAGCGCTGTGATCGCTCTGGCAGGTACGGTCTCTGGCTTGCAGAGAGAGCTCACGCATCTGAATTACACCACCATTGGAAAAATCCCCCTGAGGAGGGAACGTACCAGAGGTTTAAGACATCAGTAGAGAAACAGAAAGAAAGCAACTAGTTTTGCAAATTGCCAGTGCTGCGAATCCGGCGCGAGTTAAGGGCTGCGCTGCACAAGCAATTACCTGTGATTACAGGCACCGTGTGTTTTTAATAGTAGGCCACATGCTGGTGCAGAGTATAAACTATCATTTCTCTACAAAAGTCTGTTTTATAAAGTACGCAGACAGGCACAGTCTCACTCTTGCCCACAGTTACTGTCTGTGGGGTTCGTATTTCTGTTCACTGCCTTGTGTAAGTTTATAAAGAATGACACGAGTAAACTTACTACTGTAATCAAGCAGGAGATTTCTCCTCTCAGTACACTGAATAATGTCATTTAAACTGCCAGTACAAACCACATGTTGAAAGCGTATGGAAACTAAGAGACCTTTCATACAGGTATGAAATAAAGAGAAGAAGACGATGCTCCAGGGAGGCGGTGGCTGGGGCACACCTCGGGCTGCCCGTCTCTGTGACACTGCTCGGTGTCTGGGCACAGGAGGCCCCTGAACGCTCCAGTTCTGCTCGCCAGGTTCTGCTTTGCCCCACGTGGCTCTACCAGCAGGGACTGCAGGTTAAATTCTTGTTTTTCCCACCTGCACCGCACCCAGCTCTCTGTGCCGGCGTGAAACTGCCGTGGTGCCCTTCACCCCTCAGCGTTCCCCTCTGCGCCGGCACAAATTCTCTGGTGCCCTTCTCTGCCACGACAGTCAGTCGTGTTCCAGAGACACAAACGCTGGAAAGATTGGGTGCCCTGTCATGGGCTGGTAGACACCAGAAGGAAATTAAAACCCTTCATAAAACGCATCAGGGAAGACTGTGAGCTTCGGCAGGAAGAAATCTGGTTCTGGCCACCTCCATGTTCGGCTGAACTTCTCCTTCATCCCGAGCAAATGTTCAGAGGGAGTCTGAGGATGTGAACAGTCAGCAAGAAAGAAACTGAAACAGTAATCACCTTGGTCTCTGAGGCGTATGTAGGGATCACGCTGTTACCAAACTCATTGTGATAATTATTTCACTTGCCTTACAGGAGTTTTGCTAAACATGGTGTATAAACCAGTGAGTCATCAGCCAGAAAAAAGTCATGGTCTGCATTTGAAAGATGGGAGCATGAGCTCTGGAGCCAGCTCAGTATCACATCAAAGAAGTGTTTAATAAGTGATGCCTAATGGCTATTATGCAAATTATTAATGGTAAT